AGTGAGTGAGTGAGACTAAGTGAGTGAGTGAGTGGTCTGAAGCCTCTTCATTTCTCAACTTGGGTTGAGTATTATCTATCCAACCACATCAGCCACAGGAAGGATTTACAAGAACAAAAGAACAGGGACTTCTCCCTCAAAATTCTGCCCTTTGCACCTACAGGAATGCCAGAAATCCCACTTGCTAACTCCACCGCTACACCGCTGAGGAATGAATGAACTGCTTCCTCTGCCCCGCCTCAGCAGTTCCCTGGACATCCCCACCCTGATAGGCTTCCTCCCCCAGACAAATAAGCTCAACGGGAAAACCCCTGCTCAGAGAAGCCTTTTGCATGAACATGGATGAGGCTACGACCCCCCAACGTGCACATGAGAACAGAGGCGTGCTGGTGACAAGCCCAGTCCTACGCTCACCTGCTGGATGGGGACAAACCGCCACCTTTGACCCCCTACACTCCCTCCCCTCTGAGAGGATCATGAACAGTAACTTAGACAGGTCAATGCCACCACAGACACGGGTGTGCTGGCTCCGAGCAGTGTCCCCGGGGAGCACTCACCGCTGGCAAATGCAGGTCTGTGTGTTACTTGGAGTGAAAGAAGCGAGCGGGGCTGAGGCTTCACAGAGGCAGTGTTCCCGGTTCCAGGCAGGTGTGGCAAGAGTCTGTCTGTCATCTAATGGCCACAAAAAGGGAGCACCCACATTACTCCCGACTTTATAGGGGCGTGATGAGGATTCAGTGAGAAGGCCAGGTGTTCCACCGAGCCAGACACATCGTAAATGATGTCGGAGATGGCAGGTGATAATAATGACGGCAGGGATGGAAACGATGACGCCGCCGGGTGAAACGACCTGGTGTGGGAAATCCTACGATGGCTCGCCAATGAAAAAAGAAAGTCAAGCGTGGAAGAGGAAATTCTGGGGAGAAGTAGCCTGGAAGAACACCCTTGGGTACTTTTTATAAGAGGAAACAAAGCCTATCTGGAAGGAAGAGGACGAGTCGCTGGCTCTCCGTGACGACAGGGGCTGGCCGGCACCATCGGAAGACGTGACCAGGTGAGAGAGACCTGCACGGTGCATGTCCCCGGAATAAAGAGAAAGAAAGCACAGGACTCCACGGAGATGCCACTGTCCGCCCATCAGACTGGCCGAGGCGCGAGGGCAGAGGATGGCAAACAGGACATCCGGCCCTCTGCTGATGAGTGTTGCTTTTTAAAGGACAACATGGTTATTAAGCTCTTAAATGGGTACAGAGGATGACCCTGCCCCTCCGTATCCCCCTAGAGGGCTATTTACCCCTGTTCTCAACGAGGCTAAGATGTTTCGTCTGTGAGTCAACCTGGCTGGGCTGGAGTACCCACTTCCTTAAGCAAACGCTCACGGAGATGTTGCCGGGAAGGTATTTTGTGTTGTGGTTAACATTTGCAATCAGTTGGCCTTAGGTAAAGGAGATTACCATGAGTAGCATGGGTTAGCCTTAGGATCAAAAGAACAAGAACTTCGAGGACAAGGCAGCAGTATCAAATCCTCCGTGAGCCTCCAGTGGGCCTGCCCACCCACAGATGTCAAACTTGCCAGTACCTAGAGCCACGTGAGCCAAGTCCTTAAAACAAATCTCTGAATATGTATATGCGTAGGTCCCCGGATGGCACGAATGGTTTGTGTCTGGCTGCTAACTATAAGGTTGGTGGTTCAATGCCTACCACTCCCCAGCAGCATGCTGGAGACAAAGGTCAGGTGATGTGCTTGTGAAAAGATGACCAACAAGACACAGCTCAGTTTTACTCTGTAACAACACAGAGGCCACCAAGAGATGGGGCAGACTCAACCACAACGGGTTTGCTTTTTCGGTGTAACACATGAAACCAGTTGCCATTGACAGACAGAACATCTCAAACCAAACTCGAGGCTATAAATCTTTATCTCACTCCTAGAAGGTGGTTTTGAACCACTGACGGTGCAGTTAGCAGCCTAACGCTTAACAAACATGCTCAGATATAGATATATCCATAGATACAGACATAATAATACATATATATCTTTATATATTTAGACTCTGAATTGTACATGCCTGCTATGTATATGTGTATGTGTTATATATACATGTGTATATACACGCACACGCACATACACAGCCATACATGAGAACTTCAAAAAGTTCATGAAAAAATGGATTTGAAAGCTAATGGAATTTTCCCCACAAACTTTTTGAAGCCCCCCTCCCCATACATACAAATATGCACGGACACCTACCTGTGTATATTCTGTTGTCGTGTGCTGTCAAGTTGGTTCTGACTCAGAGACAGCCCTGATGGCATAGCGGTTATAAGTTGAGCTGCTAACTGCAAGGTCAGCAGTTCAAAACCATCAGCTGCTCCTCAGGAGAAAGACAGGGCTTTCTACTGCCATAAAGAGTCACAGTCTCGGAGACTCACAGGAGCAGTTCTACCCTGTCCTGTAGGGTTGCTATGAGTTGGCATTGATTCAATGACAGAGAGTTCCAGTTTGGGTACATATATATGTACCATATATATGCATATGTATATATGCATATGTATATAATCTATTAGTTCTTTTTCTCTGGAGAACCCTGGCTGATACAGAGACATAGACCAGAAAGAACATCAAGCACATTATATGGACACACACACGAACCTAGCTGCCACAAACAGGGAAATGGATTAGTAAACAGTAGGATTCTCAAACTATGGATCTACTTCACTTTGCTACAGTATAGAAATAAGCAAGATTCATATCCACACAGCATCTACTTGTCCTGTTCTTGGTCTATATACAGAGTCCACAGAAGTACATTCTGGAATTCCATTCTTTGTAATGTTATTCATAATTTGTTAGAGCCCACATGGGTTGGTGCCTTTGCATCATCCATGAAACGTCCAGTAAACATCTTTCCTGTATTCTTCGCTTTTAGACGAGAGCCATCTGTCTTTCTGACATCAGATGACAGCCTCGTGTCTCACCCTCCTCTGAAGCTGGCTGATTTCTGGGAGCTCCCTATCTGCCAGATACCACTATCACCGATCACACAAGTGTTTCTTACAGAATGAGGGGACACTTTATGATTTAAAATGAGGAAAGGGGTGTGTCACGGTTCTAACTTTCACCATGCTTATTTTATACTTATGCTGAGCAAATAATCTGAGAAGCTGGATTACATGATGAAGCATTTACTGATAACCATCAAAGACTACAACTTTAAGTATATATTACATCTCAACATAAAGAAGACAAGAATCCTCACAACTGGACCAACAGACAACATCATGGTAAGTGGAGAAAAGACTGAAGCTGCTAAGAACTTCATTGTACATCCATGGGAGCAGCAGTCAAGAAATCAAATGAGGTATTATATTGGCCAAACCTACCACAAAAGACCTCTCTGAAGTATTAAAAAGCAAAGACGTCACTGTAAGGATTAAGATGTGCCCAACCCAAGCCATAGAGGCAAGGATGGTGAAACTCAATCTCACGTAGTTGGGCATGTTGGTTAGGAAGGCCCTCATGCTTGATAAAGGAGAGAGTCCACAAAAGAGAAGACCTTTGACGAGAAGGCTGGGTACCGTGGCTACGACAGAGGTCAAGCCCAGCAAGGATCAAGGATGGCACAGGGCTCGTCAGTGTTTCGTCTCGTGGTCTTCAGGTTGCTACGAGTTGGAACCGACTCAAACAGCCCTGACAACAGCATCTTTAAAACTTGGTGACACGGTAGTTAAGCACTCAGTTGATAACAGAGGATCCTATGGTTGATCCGTAGGACCAGGATGTGTTGACTTGTTCCGTAATAGTGTAGCCTGGGAAACCCTATGAGGCAGTTCTCCTCTCTCCTACAGATCGGATTGCGATGAGTTGCAACTAACAGGGGCAGCAAGTTTTATCTTGGAAATATTCTAAGACATATTCATGTATTTTGTTTAAGCCACACAATAACCAACAGGCTAAGTATGACAACATGATGCATTTTATAAAAAGGGAAGAAAACACAAAGTAGGTTACAGGGTTTCTTCTAGGGAACCCAGGGACTAGAAGAATAAAACTTGGGGTTCTCTCTTGGGTTTAATAAGAGAGATGTGTCCATATTACTTCGTAGATATTAAAAAGAAATTAGCAAATTTATTTTAAGGGAAGGGGGAGAAGACAACGAGGTGGAAGGAGAGGAAAAGGCGTGACTTCCAAAAGGAGACGTGGCGCCAAGAGTTGAGCGCCAGCTCTCGCCTCCTCTGGCAGAAACTGGCAGTCCACAGGAGCAGAAACAGCCTGGGTCCATAGAGTTTGGGGATCAAATGCTCCATTCTATGCTCGGTTGGTTCTATTTATACCAACTCTCCCTTCTAAGCCAAGGCGTCTGGATCCCCCTTCACTGGTGTCAGAAGTTAGAGATGATGAAGAGAGCGATATAAAATTGTGCTATCGCCGAATTCTTGAGGCTGTCTACCGAGTTACACAGGCTTCCATGAAGTCCTGTGCTGCCTTTAGATCAGTGGTTCTCCACCTTCCTCATGCTGCGACCCTGGAATACAGTTCCTCATGTTGTGGTGACCCCCAGCCATAACATTATTTCATAGCTACTTCATCACTGTAATGTTGCTACTGATATGAATCGCACTGTAAATCATACTGTGTTTTCCGATGGTCTTAGGTGACCGCTGTGAAAGGTCACTGGACCCACAGGTTGTGAACCACGGCTTTAGATCCTGCATGTAGGGTTTTGTTTTGTTTTTAATATCATTAGTTTTTTAACTAAAGACATTTTTACCTTTCCTTGTTTTCTTCCATCGCCCTGCAGCTGCACTGGTTCATTACTGAGGAGCTGTTCACAGATGCACCTGGCAAACCCGGGTCTTCTTCCCTGAAAAGCAAATCATCCAACACTTACAACACGCTCAGAGTTGTATTGTAAACACTCAAACGGCTGCAGTAAGTACGCATAGTGTGAGCGTGGGTACGGCAGCAGCATCCACCTTAAGCTAGTCTCTGTTTCACCCCTAGTTAAGAGAGGCCCATCCAGGAAAACATTTCCCAGGCATCCTTGCAGCTAGCTGAGGCCAGGCTGAGTTCTCCATGAAATGTGAGAGGGAGTGACCTGGGTCAATTCCTCATCTAGGTCTTATGACATGGGCCTGCCTTGTCCTTCACGGTGCCTGGAACTAGGCTCTGAGCAGAGATAAATAGCAATGTCCCAGAGCAACAAGATAGAAGGCGCTTGGGCCTGTGTTTGGCTCTGTGGAGCAGGGACTCCCTGCTTAGCCTGGAACTACAACCTAGAAAGAGCTAGCAACGACAACCTCTCTCCGAGCGGGCGATGCTGGAGCCCTATCACTAGGACCCGTCTGAGATGGATTTAGTTCTTTGGACAAGTGTAGTCCATGGAGATAGGTGAAACCAAACTATTTTTAGTCACAGTCTCCATATAAATTAAAGCAAAACAAAAAAAAAACTCAGTGCTCTTAAGTTGATTCTAATTCATAGTGACCGTATAAGACAGTGCAGAACTGCCTGCACAGGGTTACCAAGGATGCCAACATGTATGAACTATACTGCCACATCTTTCTCCTTCAGAGCAGCTGTTGGATTAAAACTGCCAACCTTTCGGTTAGCAACTGAGAGCTTTAACCACTGCGACCCCGAGGCTCCTGAATTTCCATATAACCACATGCCATTTCAAGAGGTCCTGGTGCATCAAAGTCTAATAATAGTCTAATAATAGTCGGTTAGCGCTCGAGCCGCATCTGTCGAATGAGGGGATGTTCACAAGCACACCGTGTAGCTGCTCACACGAAAAGTCTCAAGGGCAGGATGATGCACAGTGAGTGTCCACAAGTGTGAGTCATGTCATGCCACAAAATGACCATCTGGAAGGTCAGTCACCGCCGGGTGCCCGGGATACCCACGTGCAAGAACTCAGAGTCGATGTGCTCAGGAGAGGACAGGTTGAGGCAGACAGCCTGAGAGATGGGGGCAGAGACAGACGGACGGAACTCACGGCCATCCAGTCCATGCTGACCCATGGAGATGCTAGAGGGCAGGGTAGAACCATCCCTGTGGCTTCCAACTGTAAGTCTTTCCCGGAGGAGAAGGCCCCGTTTTCCTCCCGAGGGAGGAAAGCAGAGAGACAATTCCAGCGCCTGAAGGATCCCACCCCCACTCCCCTCCCCCAGCATCGGCCTCCGCGTGAGTCTCAGACAGGACTCGGGGTACCCTCTTCAGCCAGGTGCAGCACGCCTCACCACTCGGGGTGGTGCAAGAATTAAGTAGATCCTTTTTTAACAAGACGGTCCCCATAGGAGCCAATTAGTGTGTCTTAACCAAAGAAACACCATCCGTTTCAAGGCTGGGAGCATTGCCTGGTCTGCCACCTTGAAGTCTGCTGGGTTGGTCTCCCACCTGGCACCCCGGGGGAGGGTGCTCAGGGTCATTTGACCATCTATCTGGATCTTACACGCTGGTGCTGCCTTGACGGGTGGACAGAAGCCACTACATCAGCTGGGTCACACTCCAGCCCGACCTCCTCCACCAGCCTCACCTCGGGTGTGACTGCTTCCAGATCAAAGCCACCTGGGCATCAACTCTCAGGTGAGCAGGACCAGGAACCTGAACCCCCTGCCCTCTAAGGCGTCGGGCAGAGTCAAGGTTAGGGAGACTGCGGGGCTGCAGCCTGAAACTCTGCTCTTTTATTACATATTTAACTTGCACACCAGGAGATATTTTTAGCATCTGGAGCCCAGTGGGGGCTGGCAGCTCTGGCTTCCATCGGAGCTAACTTCATCAGCCAAGGCCTGTGCACTCATGCAGGCTGCGGAGGAGAAGGCAAGAGCGAAGATGTGGATCCCGGGACACGGAGGGAAGGGGCACTGGGCGGGTGGAGGCTCCTAGAGGTGTCTCTACAAACTGTGGGAGAGGGTGAAGGGAGACGGTGGGTGGCCTGCACCGGGGCTGATTCTACAGCCGGGACACCTGAGTTTCTCCCACCTCACCAGGACATCGAGTTTGCTCAGTTTTATCAAGCTCTTTGGCAGCGTGGTAACCACTCCCAAGGGATGTGGCCTTAGATGTCAAAATGACCCCATCCACAGGACTTCCACAAACCCGCATTTCCTATGCTGCTGTGAGGGGCTGGTGCTGAGCTGGGCCTTGGAGCCGGTTCTGGGCCGAGGTTCCAGGCTTTTCTCTTTCAATGTTGGGGAAGGTATTCTGTAGACGGAGTTCCTTCTAGAAAATCAGTGATCGAAAACCCACTGGAGCGCAGTCCCACGCTGGCAGACGTGGGTTGTCATGGTCAGGACTGGCTTGGCTTTTTGGCACTCTGTAGGCAGCCCTGGGGACCCTCTCCCTCTTCTGCCTTGTGGCTAAAGGCGGACACTGGGTGTACCATCTCTGCACCACGAATCCCCAGCACTTGGGGGTTGGCAAGAGCCAGGTACTGACATAGATGATCTTGTTTAAGTCTCACATTCAATTCCCAAGGGAAAGTCACTGTGAGTCTCAGTTTACAAATCAGGAGATCGGGGCACAGAGAGGTTAAGACGTGGCAAAAGCCACACAGATGGCAAGTGGTAAAGCCAGGATTTGAACTGGGCATGTGTCCTGGGAGCCCATGCCCCTTACCACTGCTCCACATGTACAGTCAAGCTGAATAACTAGTGAATGAAGGAACAAAGAGACACTTTCAAAAACTTATTGAGAGTGGGGCTGTGGAGGAAGTGTCTCAGGGCTTAGCCCCCAGCCTGACTGCATGCGCTCTGTATGAAACCAACAGGGTGCTCTGCCCGGATAACCTCTCGAAGCAGCCACTTAGCCCCCTGAACAATGAGCGCCGACAGTTGCCAACTTCTGCAAAACGCAACTCATGTGCTTAAGTTCATTGCTGCCTCAGTACTTGGCTCAGTGCCTTGCTGCCTGGTGCTTAGTAAACCAGGCTCCACACCCCGACCCCACAGGGGAAGCATGGGTTACAGTCCATTGAGAGATCACAGAACGGGAGTCCCAAGAGGTTGCCACTTTTTTAAGGTGCCAGGAACTAAAGGGGGGGCGGTTTTCGGGTTCTGAGCAGGCTGGCTGCAGGGCGGGCGCATTTCCGACAGGAGGGTACCGCCATGAGCCCAGGTGAGTCGGGTGGCCGGGAAGATGAGATGACCACGGTTCCAACTCTTCAGGCGGGAAGTGCTGCATTCGTCTTAGGCCAATCAAGATCTCCCATCACAGTCTTCCTTGGGAGAGGAATCCTAATTCTCATCAGCTAGAAAGACCACTGACGCGTTCCTCTCCCCGCCTGCCTGGAGCAGAGCGCCAGGGGCCAGCATTTGCTGAGCGCCAACCTCCGGGAAGGCCCCACTGTCGGTTGGACCCCTAAAACGAACCAAGGAGCAAACAAAACCACTGTCATCAGGTTGATCCCAACTCATGGCAACTGTATTAAAATGAAATGACTGAAATCGGGCTCCTCAATCCACGTCTCGGTACCTCCCACCCCAGGCTGGATGGGAACATGCAAATAAGGTCTTGGGGACCCCGCCTTGGGGATTGGTCAATAAGAGAATTATTTCAGAAGCAAGAGCAGCAGGATCACATGCAAGGGCCCTGCCAGAGTGGTGGAGGCTGCAGAGGCCCAGAAACTCTGTGTCTGAGGGGCTGTAGGCTGAGGAGAGCTGCAGCGGTGGACCACAGACTGCGTCCTTAATGTTGTCTGAGCCTGGTTTGCAGTAACCCGTCAGCTTCTCTAAGCATCCCCCGTGATCGTGATGACTGCCGGGGAGTTCTGTGTGGCTGCGGAACCCAGCAGAGAAGTAGAGTGCCCTGGGAGGCATGTCTGATCTCTACCTCCTGGAAAGCACCCATCGACAGATGGGACGTTGGATTCTCCTCCCTCACGTAGCCAGAGGAGGCCCGCGGTGGCCCTCACACCCTTGACTCCGTGACCCCCTAGGACACGGACTGCTCCTATGGTTTCCAGAGCAAACAGTCGGGAGCAGCTGGTGGGTTTGAACCCCTGACGATGTGGTGATGAGCCCAATGCCTAACTGACGGCACCATCATGGGTCCTTCGACTGGACACCAAGCACAGTTAACTTTTCATTTCACTTCTTCCCAAGAAGCGGCAAGTGCTGGCGAGGATGAGAAGCAACTAGAATTCCACACATCCCTACTGGTGGGAGCCCGAGTTGCTCCATCCACTCGGGAAGGCGGTAGCAACGCATCAATTCAACATGCATTCACTCTTAAGTCCAACGCCACACCAAGAAGCGTGTTCTAGAACGTTCTCAGTAGCGCTGCAGCTAACAGTCCTGTTTTAATTGCCTGTGCTAGTTGCCACAAACTTAGTAGCGTTAAGCAAAATAACACAGCCCTGGCCATGTGGCCGCTGTTGTCATTAGGTGCTGTTGAGTTGGCACGACTCATCGTGACCCAGAACGAGGCGCTGCCTGGCCCCGGGCCGTCTTCACAATCGGTGCTATTTTTGCACCCACTGTTGCAGCCACTGTGTCCCTCCATCCTATCAAAGGTCTTCTCCGTTTTCACTACCCCTCTACTTTACCATGATGTTCCGCTCCAGGGACTGGTCTCTCCTGATAACATGTCCAGAGTCAGAGACAAAGTCTCCTTGCTTCTACAGAGTATTCTGGCTGTACTTCTTCCAAGACAGATCTGTTGGCTCTTTTGGCAGTCCATGGTATTTTCAACATTCTTTGCCAGGACCATAACTCAAATGCGTTGATTCTTCTTCAGTCTTCCTCATCCAATGCCCAATTTTTACATGCCTACGAGGCTATGGAAAATACCTTGGCTTAAGCCGTGGGAGCTGACTTCCCCAAAGGGTGCTGCCTGTTCCAGATTGC